TTTGACTTCTAGTTTCACACAAACTAAATAACAATGTATACGAATGACCCAGCACAAGAGGAACAAATACGGAAAAATCTGAAAACCTGAAGAATTTTGTTTCAAATAATTATTTGAACGACTGACTCTTTTTCTTAATTAAATATTTATATATAATTCGACGATACTAAATAGGTGCTAAGTGTTAAAAAGCAAATAGTTTTCTTTAAATTCAAAAAAGGGTTTTCTCTTATTTTTGTCTTAACCGTATTCATATTAGGGAGGTATTTTTCCCACTTAAGGCTAAATTAATATATGACAAGGGTTTGAACCCTCTTAAAGGCTCAGAGACTACGCCCATGTGTAAAAAAAAAGCAAATACTACTTGGACCTTATGGAAATATTTTACATAATATAGTGACAGGTTTGGGCACAGCATGTGAATTGTGATTGGGAAAAAAGTATGAAAAATATGTTTAAAAATCTGGAACAGCTCAGAAAAACATGTTTAAGGAAACACCATTGCAACGGCCAAAGTTTGGTGTCTTTTTTTTACAATTTAATATAATTCCAGTTATACAATAGTATTTGTAAGTTTAGATATTAAGCACACCTCTTGGTTTGGCTATGGCCTTAAATTGTTTTTTTTTATTTTTCTTATAAAATATACAGCTAAAATTATAATAATTACAATTGCTAACATTAACAATGTATGATAAGTGAGAAGATGAAAATCTAATTCATGTAATTTTAACTTATGTTTTTTCAAATAATTAATTTCATTTAATAAGTTTTTAGTCTCTGTTGTTTGATTAATTATTGGTGTAACTAACGGGTTCCAAACAATTTGGTATTTCTTTTATCTCACCTATATATGACAAGGATAGTGTCCCTTGATGTTTTGGTTGAATACTGTGATTTATACCTGCAGTTTGAGGTTTGGCTTAAGAGACGTAAGCTCACTACTGTTATCGTTGGCACTCCTCAAAGACCAACTTCCTTCACAAACTCTTATGTTTGATTGCCACCTTTGACACTTATTAAGGGTTGATTCCGCTATTAAATGATAAACATCTATCTCAAAATTGTAGACTAAGTACTGAGAATCTACTTGCACTGTAATCATGCGTTCAATCCAAATTAACCGGTACTGGGATAATTCTATAAAGCACTGAGGCATGTCTTCCAAACAAAGGTATTTTCGCAAGAGACAAACTGTCTCTTATTTTAGAAATGTCACTTTTTAACTGACTAGGTCTTAATATGTTATTATTAAGCTTACAATTATTGATATCTATTAATAGGCCTATAACGTCGGATTGAAACTTTTCGCATTACTTTTTAATGTTATTAAATTGTTTTGTTACCATAAAGAAGTTGATAGACTCCTTGCACACATAATAAAATTTTTGCAATACAGACGTCATATTCTCATTGATTCATTCCTTTAAAGTTTCAGTTTACTTCATCAGTCGTTCTCTTCAAAATGTAAGTCGTAGAATCTACTAAGGAGGATTGTTTCCTACTTAAGTCGTTAAAGCTATGCTGAGTGCTTAATAAGCTCTTCATATTGTCCTCCATTTGTATCCTGTTGTCTTCATCCATTATCCCAAATAAAATCCAGACGGAGCTCGATTATTTCTTGATATACCATGAGCCATAAGAAGTTTGTTATTTTCTTCTAAATCAGAGATCTGCCTTTGTGTGTTATTGAGAACTAAAAGACACTGATCCTCAAAACTATGAAGCCTTTCACAAATTATTCTTTTGAAGCATTTAGAAATACGCGTCCATATTATCAAATTTTATTAAATTCCAAGAGGAGGCTACAATTCTACGTCACCCATTGGGTCTAGGTATATAGCCGAAGTCTTATTTATTTTTTCTATCGCATACTTTGGTTGATCAGCTTTAGAAAATTTACACAACATAAATCATAACATAGCTAATTTAAGAGCGAATTGTCTGCCTCTTTGGTTTTGTTTCTTCAGGGTCAGACTCAATTTTGTCAAATGACTAAATTCCGTCTAAAGGACAAATTTTGCTAATAAGTCTAGTTACAATTCCATCTTGTATTTTAAATTCTGTCACTTTGAATTTTATCTTTGCGTTTGTTCACCTTTTCCACTTTCCCTATTGGCCATCTGGTTTGATGTGTATTTTTATCTTTTAAAAGGACAATTTGTCCTTCTTCTATATTTGGACTTTCCCTTTTCCATTATTGCCTGTGTTGTAGAGTATGCAAATACTCCTCTTTCCAGTTAACCCACCTGTCTTTATTCCCAATTCTTTCATTTTCAATTTGTTCAACAATCTCTAACGGTGGTTTATCAATTAAGAAATGCCCTGGTGTTAAGACTTCATCTTGTTTCATTTCATTTTCTGAGTTATACAACGGTCTTGAATTTAAGTACGCTTCTATTTGACATAAAAGTGTTGACATCTCTTCGTATGTCTGACTATTTTCCCCGATTACCAATTTCAGATGGTATTTTATGAATTTAACTCCAGCTTCCCAAATACCTACGAAGTGAGGTCTTGTCTTGGATAGGTTTACTTTTGGTAGCTCAGGAGGCTAAAGTTTCTACGTCACCCATTGGGTTAGATGTATAGCCGAAGTCTTATTTATTTTTTCTATCGCATACTTTGGCTGATAAATTTTAGCTGATACGTTAGAAAATTGACACAACATAAAAGCGAATTTCGATGTTTTGTTCCTTCGGGGTCAGATTCAATTGAGGTCCTACCGGGCGGATACGATACCTATCAATTCTATTTTTTTAAGCTGCGCTTGGCCATTCAAACGAATACGGCAATGGTTTATAGGATTTTACGACATCGTAACTCTGTATTTAGGTAGATTGCCCTTTTTTTTTTAGCTGTATAGGAGGTCGTTACGACGAAGGCGGAAACGGCTACATACCAACGTTAGTGCCCTAGCGAGGTGGTTTGGATGGGTTGACAGCTTTGTGTAGTAGTTTTCCATGTGTTGCGCTATTACAACTTGAACGGGGAGTATATTGAAGTCTCTTTCAATATTTCCACTCCGAACGTACCACGGTGCCCGGTGATAGATCTCAGGATCTTTGTTCGGGCTCTCTGCACAATTTATACGTTGCTGTTGCTGGCGCTCCTCCACAATGGGGAGCCATAAGTCCAGCCTTAGGTGAGTTCGTTTAGCTTCGATATGCGTGCGCCAGGTAAGGCGTCTGTCGAGATGTACGGCAAGATACATTACTTCATCTGAGTGAAAAAGCACGGTGTTGTTTTTTGTACGGTTTGCGCAATTTCGTCTATATAAGGTAAAGGTTACGTGTTTACATTTTTGTTTATTTACTTTTATACGCAAGTCTGAGAGCCATTTCTCTACAGCATCTAGATGGGTCGCAAGTTGCGCTGGTGCTTGTTGTGGACATTTAGATCGGCTGAGGATCGCAGTGTCGTCGGCGAATGTAGACATAGTCTACCTCGTAGGTATATCAGCAGTGTAGAGTAGGTATAAAGTTAGCCCGAGAACGCTGTCTTGAGGAACTCCAGCTTAGATGTTATGTTCAACTGACATGGAAGTTTTTCATCTCACAACGAATATCCTGTTTTAAAGATATCACTTCGAGAGTTTATGTGTGTTATTAGAAGCATTATTTTGATTTTATGCATTAGGCCGTCAAGCCATACTCTGTCATATTCAAATGCACTTCGTGTTCAATAGTTCCATGCAGAATTGATGTGCAAATTAAATTTTCACTAGTAATATTGTTAAAAAAATATATTTTTATTTTTTGTAACTTGGTGTTAAACCTTTCTATTTAATTTCACAAGTACAATACACTTAATTTTTCACAATCGAATTTCTTACTTCCGAACTGTTTCTTGATCAAAGATGGACTCCCCGCTTAATTCTAAAATCTTATCCAATGAACCTCGACCAGAAGCTTTTCTTTGAGCTTCTCGAACTTTTCCTTTTGTTTAGAATATAAGCTTAGGATGAAATCATGGCATCCTATTGTGAAATTCAAATATGCTGACCGATGCAATTTGTTTGGGCTTGGATCGCAATAGTTTGAACTTATAACGCAATTGATTGGGCTTCGAGTGGAAACTTATGTTTACTTTAGGATTTGTTTGTTTATTTGGTAGGGAAATCAAGAGCGGACCCCAAAGCCAAAGGCGTGGGCAAAGACAAAGGCAAATGCAAAGGCATAGGCGAAGATTGTTTAAATTGAATTTTGAAAAAATTGTTTATTAATTCCATAAGCGGCCCGGTTTCACGGGTTGGTTAACTCTCCCCCCTCTAAAATGGATCGCCCCGAGTCATTATGGATTTCTTTTAAGCGTTCTCTTAGTTTTGAAAAAAAACATTGGTCTTAGTTTGTATCTTTTTCTTTAAAAGTTTCTTCGTGGCTTGTGTTTTCTTTTATTAAAATTTCATCTTGGTTTGTATTTTCTTTTTTTAAAACTTTTTCTTGGTTTGTACTGATTTCTAGTTCTGGCCGTTGACTTTTGGTTACAAAATTTCTATATATTATGTAAAGTAATAATATTAAAAATATAATAATAAAAATTAATAATATAAAGGAAACTGATATTTTGGTATTATTAATTTTTACAAATGGATTGATAATGTTTATATTGTCAAGAGTTGCTCCGAATTATTTGAAGCAATATATTCGGAAATGTCATAATTTATGAATTTATGCTGAGCTATATAGTTTAATATTTTGTTTTCGCTGTTAATGTAGGTGCTGTTATTAATGATAATTGAGTCATTGAACAAAATTAAATAGGAACCTTATAATTGAGTGTTGTCTACTATATTTGTTCCTGTTATTAAAATGGCACCATCCTGTAAGATATCTATTTTATTATTAATTTCTCTTATTTTAGAGCAATTGGCTTTTTCGCCGTTTAATAATTTAATAAAACAATTAGTTTCAAAACTTAATTTACAATAGTTGTTAAACATTTCTTTCTTAAAATTAGTCATTAGGTAATATTTGTTTTTGCAATTGGCAACTTCATTATTTATTAATAATTTTCCATCGGATTTTGCAATAGCTCTTGTTTTGTAAAGGTCACATTTACCGATAACCATGGGATATTTTATATAAACTACAAGTAAATCATTATTAAATAAAATTTTAAAAGTTGATGTGTCCATTAGGTCAGAAATACTACAGATTGTTTTTCATGATTGTAAATTTCTTTAATTTCTCGTTTAAAATTTTTGTTTTAAAAATTTTTGCTTTTGCTAAGATAATAGTATCTAATAAATTTTGTAAGTCAAATGTGAGTAACCGCAAACGATGTTTTCGTAAAATTGTTTCCTCGTTGAAAACTACATTTTTTAAACTTTCAGTAAGATATTTTACTTCATTAAATAATTTTGAATTTATTGTGAATTGCTTGTTGTTGTTTTCAATTAGGCTGTCTATTTTGTTCTAAACCGTTATGAAATCATCATGATCAAGGAGTACCTGCTATCCATTTCCATAAAGTTCCTATTTCATTAATTCCTCTTTTTTGTCTTTTGTTACGGAACTGCATCTTTCCCGGAGGGCAGCGCCGGCTAGCCACGGAGTCCCAGGGCGGAGTACCCCCTATGCCCTGCAGTCCGAACAATCGATTCCGACTCATCGGACGTCTCACGTCGATTTACCATCCCTAGCACAAATCAAAACAAAACAAAATTATATTTACATTAAGCAACTAAGACAATTCGACGAAATTGGTGGCTTCGATGTCCTTGCCACGACGCACCCACCCAACCTTGGGTGCCCCAAGAGAGATGTGGGAGGCACACCCCATCTCCGGCAGACCGGAGTCTATTCCTGGTGGATTAGGATCGGCTCATCTCCCCGCCCAAGGTAATTCACACAACCATCTCGGTAGCTTGTTCACATTTAATTCTTGGTGAGATTAATAAGTAAATACATTCATTATTGATTCCTACTGATAATCTATTCTTTTCGTTAGAAACTTTAAGGCCGATCTCAGAGCGTCGCCCAGATGAGAAGCGGTCAAAGCGGAAACAACCGAAAGGGAAATTTTTAGACGCTTAAAGTTCCAAGTGTCAGGCAAAGTCGCCGCACGGCACCAAATTTGGAGGCGTTTGCCAGCCGGGTCGCCTAATCCTGAGGAGCTCCAAGGGAAAAGAAGGGACGTGCTAATAAGGTAAGTACGCTAAACAAATCCCACAAGTCATTAAATTTCGCGACCCAATTTAAATGTAGTTGGACGCGGGCTAGGGTTCGGGCTTGAGCCTCTAAATCTAGATTAGATTTCACAGTAAGTACTTTACAATCTTGACTATATGATATCACAAAACAATAACTAAAACTAATTTATTGCAGAGTTCAACGTCGGATGTGTTGAAACTGCAGCAGAAAAAAACGCTGACGGCGAAAACCAGCGCGAGTCCGCACGGAGCCAGTTGGTCCGGAGGATAGCGCAGCGTAGCCGGAGGCAGTGCGTCGGTGGACTTGGAGATGACCACGTGGCCAGCGCGGGCATTCGTTCCCGGAACGGACTCACCGAGGGAATCTCCGTATCTGGCCGTCTTGGCGGCTGTCGCTGTAGCTGCTGGCGCTTGAGGCTGCTGTTGCTGCTACTGATCGCTGCTGCTGCGGCTAATGCTGCTGCGGCTAATGCTGTTGCGGCTGATGTTGCTGCTGCTGATGCTGCTGCGGCTTATGCTGCTGCGGCTGATGTTGCTGCTGCTGATGCTGCTGAGGCTAATGCTGCGGCGGCAGGTGGTCGACGACCAGGTTAGGTCCGCCTGGTGAGATTTCACTTCCCAAATGTTTAAAATTTCCGGGGCCCTTTAGTTAGGGTCCCCGGCGGCTTCAATATAAAAAAAAACACTGTAATTTACAAGTTCCGGACTAATAAATAAACACTCACTTTGAGTTATTCAAACACTAATCACGAACTTAAATTTTGGGTTTTTTTCTGACCGTTCTCCTACTACTTCTTGCAGCAACTAAAGCAAAACCCTGACCTACACCAAAGTCTCTCGCCATGTTCCCTCCCGCTCTCTCAAGATGGGTCAGCGAACGTATTCAAGGCCATCTAACCCAGTTAACGAGCGAACCGGGCTAAATTTAAATAGCTAGATCCTCTCCCGCTATTAATAGTCGGTGTCACCACCAAATCTTATCGATAGCGGGACCTGCTGACGTATCGGTTCGTTTCAGTATTTTCCAGACGGCTTCAACTGAAAATGCAACACCACCCTGGATTCCGAGAGACGCTAACACAGAGTTTTAGACAAGCGCGGGAATACTTGGGAGCATTTGGATTTGGACTATTCGGATTCAGCCGGTCTCGATACCAAGATGCAGTTCCAACGGTGTCCAACGCGGGGCCCACGCTTTACGGGAAGTAGACACATGCCGATTCTGAGCTCGTGTACTTTGTTATTCCTCTTTCCAGATCACAACCTAATGTCCTTGGCATGGTACACTCCGGTCGGTCGTCCTTGAAGATCTTCAAGCTCGTACGCATTATTGCCGACTGTCTTGACCACCCGAGCTTTTGGGAACTTCCGAGCAAACTTTGCATTGAAGGCCTTTTTGAAATCGCTGGGGACAAAGTTGCGGCGATACACTTTCTGACCTGGCTTCGCAAGGAAAGTACGAGCCCTTTTGTCGTACCGCAGGCGACTCCGATCGTATGGATCTTCGAGGTTCTTCTGCACCTTGTCATGAATCACTTGGAGTTTATCAGCTGTTCTCATCCCAGACATTTCGTGATCACACAGCGACTTCAACTTCCTTGCCAACTTGTAGCTGGCTCCGTTCAGGAACATGTGTCGTCCGAATACGGTGAAGAACGGAGCTTCTCCAGTTGCTGAATGGACCGCGTTGCGGAGGGCCACCTCAATCTCCGGAAGATACGCGTCCCATTCTCGATGGTCTTCTTCTAAGTAACTTCGGATCGCCGCCAACACGCTTTGGTTCACCCTTTCCGCTGCGTTGCTTTGCGGAGAGTGGACTGGCGTTTTGACGTGCGTGATGCCAAAGCTCTCCATCGCCTCCTCGAAGATCTTGGACGTAAACTGGCGGCCGTTGTCCGAATGCACAATTTCTGGAACCCCAAACTTGTAGAACACCTCGTGAATGAGGAACTCCACTACATTGGAGGCCGATGCCTCTTGCATGGCTTTCAGAAATGTGTATTTGGAGAAGTGATCCACCACAATGAAGATGTAGGCCTGTCCCTTCTTCGACCTCGGATACTTCCCCAGGAAATCGATGTACAGCTTCTGGAATGGCTGCTCAGTCTGGACTCTCTCACCGATACCAACTTGCATCCGGAAATTCGGGGATTTCGTCTCCTTGCACACTTCACACCTGCGTATGAACTCCCGGACTTGCAGTGCCATGCCAGGCCAGTAAAACTGCCGCCGTAGGTTTTCCAGAGTTTTTCCCATTCCGCCATGAGCTGCCGTTGGATCCGAATGTGCACGCTCAATTATGCTGTGGGTCAGACTCTGGGGAATCCACAACTTCCATTCGAAGGTGGAAGGCCACCTCGTCATCCAGATTTGCCGAAAAGACTCTCTTGAAGATGAGACCATCTACTATCTTCAAGTCTGGTAGGTTGGCCAAGTTTTTTCCCACCTCTTGTAACAACTCCGTGTACTCTTCTCCAGCAAACTCAGTGGTCTCGAAGCCGAGCAACTCTGACGGGTCCACCGTTAGCTCTTCAACACAACGCGAAAGGGTATCTGCCACAACGTTCTCGCTTCCTTTCCTGTGTTCGATGTTGAAGTCATATCCCTGGAGTTGCAATGACCACCGAGCCAGCCGACCCGAAAGATCTTTCATGGACATGAGCCACTTCAGGCTGGCATGATCGGTGATGCACGTGAACGGCATTCCTTCCACATACGGCCGGAACTTTCGAATGGCCAGCAGGGCTGCGAGGCATTCCTTTTCAGTGACGGTGTAATGGACTTGGTGACGATTCATCTTGGCCGAGAAGAACGCTATTGGTTGTTCCTGGCCGTCTTCATCCCGCTGGAACAACACTGCACCGACTCCGATCTGGGATGCATCGCACTGGATGAAAAAGTGCCGCTTGAAGTCCGCATGTACCAGCACTGGCGCAGTAGTTAGGGCCATCTTCAGGGACTCTACTGCCAGCTGTGCTTCTGGACTCAAGGAAAACTTCTTATTTCCCGTCTTCTTCAAGGATTCCGTGAGCGGGGCAGCCAAAGTTGCGAAGTTCTTTATGAACCGACGGTACCAACCAGCGGTCCCAAGAAAGGCTCTCACTTCCTTCATGGTCCTTGGCTCAGGCATCCGCCTAATAGCTGCTACACGCCCTGGATCCATCCGCAGACGTCCTCCACCCACTATGAAGCCGAGGTAGGTCAAAGACTTGAAGCAAAACTTCGACTTGCTCAGCCCAATGGTTAACCCTGCTTCCTTCAGGCATTTAGCGACTCGGCGAAGATACTTCAAGTGCGTTCTTATGTCGGGCGCTAGTATTAGCAGATCATCCAAGTAGACGAACACATTTGAGCGGATTTCAGCGGGAATTACTCGGTCCATGAGTCTCACCAGCCTCTGTGATGCGTTGCAGAGTCCGAAAGGCATCACGCGGAACTGGTAAAGAGGCCGACCAGGAACCGTAAAGGCTGTGTATTCCTTGCTGCTCGTGTCCAACTCAATCTGCCAAAAAGCGAACTTCAAATCCACGCTGGAAATGTAGTATGTTTGCTCAATTCTGGACAGGATGCCGTCTATGCTGGGCAACGGGTAAGCATCTTTGATGGTCACATCATTAAGCTTACGTGCGTCTAAGCAGAACCGGTGTTTTCCAGATCTTGATACTACGGTGGTGCGGTTACTCCAGGGGCTTTTGCTCTCCTCGATGACTCCGAGCGCTAGCATCTTGTCGACCTCGTCCTCGACCACCTTCTGCTTCGCGGGAGACATCGGATAGGGTCGATCCTTGAACACTTTGGCTCCGTCCATCAGCTCAATAGTGTGTTTCTCCAGACTGGTGGTACCTAAGCCATCCCTCTCGAAAGTTAAGAACTGCTGCTTGATCTCCTCCAGCTCTTGTTCCTCGGCCTTGGAAAGCGTCCAGGACTCGGGATCGGGTTTCTCCTCATCGTCATCCTTGACTTCCGCGTAGTGTTCCATCTCCCTGGCGTGTAATTCTTCGGCCTTCTTCACGCCTTCCGAATTGATGTGGCCTATAATCGCTGGGGCCAGTCCGAATGCTTGCCAAAAATCAACTCCAAAATAAGCTGGCTGCTCCAGGTAAGGACACAAGTAGAAGAGAATGTGCTCTGTCCGTCCTCGGTATTCCACCGGTAACTTGACTCGTCCTATAATTGACCGATCCTCTCCAGAGGCCGTACGGACTGCGGATAAGTACTTCTGGACGGGCACATCCAAGGCCTCGACCAGCTCTCTGCCACCTTTTCCAAGCAGACTCACACTCGCTCCAGTGTCCAACAACCCCGTCAGCTGCTTGGTCAGAACTCGGACTGCGGCGAACGGTCTGGGATCTCGCGATAAACTGCGCCTCACGGCGGCCACTGCTTCGCGTCGGCAGTTCCGACGTTTGCGAAATCGCTCCCTGGCCTTTTGCACCTTTCGAGACACCACACGCATCCCGCCTAACTGGTGCTCTGAGAAGATCCTGTTCCTGGTCTCTAGATACCGGCGCATCCTCTCCGCATAAGGTAAGTATCGTAATGCAAACTTATTACTATTTTTAGAAGGTAAACATTTATCTAACCCTACCAGCTCTTCTTCTCTGCGGAACTCCTGTCTGGACGCATCCTCTCCGCCCTCGGATCGCCCAGCCGACCGTTTTCCGCACAATCCGGACATTTGGGAGACACGGTGTCGGGCTTCCCACATCGGTAGCAGAACAGTCTGCGTTCTGTTGCTGCGCAGTCACGGAACCCGTGATCCACGGCTCCGCAATTCCAGCAGCCGGCTCGGAACGGATTTTTAGGCTTCGCCCGCACTTCGTCCACCTCTTGCCACGGAGGATCCTCACCAGGATCTGGGCCAATCGCCTCGCTAACCTTGGCCTTTTCCGCCAGAGGATACCGCATCGGCTGCGTGTACGTGGTCCGTCCACGTCGTCCAAAACTGCGCTCCACCTCGCAGCACTCTTCCCGCAGCTCATCCACCGTGAGCACATCCATCGCGTAGACAAACCTTGCGATGCTCTCCCTCAATCCCTTTTTAATAATCTTCGCCAACTCCTTCTCCGAGCTGCTGCTCCCTCTGCAGAAGTTGGTGCATCCGATCGTGCTCCGTCTGATGGCATCGGAACCTATCCATCAGCGAGGCTCGAAGCTGGGACCACCTGTCCACCCTGCAGTGACGCACGTGCACCCAGTACCACTCCCGAGCCCGCCCAGTGAGCAGCAGGTGGAAGTTTCGGAGCACCTCTTGCCACGGACATTGGCACTGCCGCTGCAGGAACTCCAACCGGAAGAGAAAATCTTCCACCGAGTTTCGCTCATCCTCCCCGTCGAAGGATACGCCCCACCGCTCAATTCGCCATTGCTGGTTGGCGGCTGTCGGCCCCACATTGGCATACAGACGCGGCTCCTCCCGGAACTCTGAGGCCCTGCGGTCCTCAATGCACCAGCTGCGG